AGTGTGGTCTAATAAGTCTAAGTTAAGGCCAAGAACTGTGTGCATGACGGTAAAGACAGTTTAATAAAGCTGACTGTTGGAGAATAATGCACAGTCATGACATCTTGGGTCTCCAGGGAACCTTAGTTAACAAATTTAGTCTTTTTATCCCTTATATCTGCTGTGGGTTCTTGAAGCTCGTATTATAGTGAAAACCTGCTGATTAAACGTTTCACTACAAAGAAACTTTATTATTCCAACTCTGTCAATTAAAAGTTAAACAACAGATAGGTTTGGTTATCATAGCAGAAGATAGAATCTTTTCTTAATTAATTTTGTTAAAAATACATGTTACTGAAGAAATCAATTGATTTTTTTCATTAAAAATGTTCCAATGAAGTACTTATTACTTCTAGTGATGGATACTTTATTTATTAAAGTGCATAAATGTTATTTAGATTATGAGGTGATGTTTGGTTATCCAGAGTAGAGAATTGATTTCCTTCTTCTGTTCCATGTAGTTGTTGTTTAAGTTGTGGAGATTTCTTTGCTCTAACGGAGCCAGCGCTGCCGTCTCTGGCATTTTCTCCATATCATGTTTTTAGTTCAATTCTTTGTTGCTCCTCCGGAGCCTCTGTATCTCACTGAGTTATGGATAATCGTTAAGCTGCCGTATGTTGTGTCTGAAGGCTGGTGTAAATGTGAGCAGCTGGTGTTATAGCTGCAGCGTGTCGCTGTGGTCTTCGATCACGTTTCCTCTTTTGGCCTTCGGCGGCACATTTCCTGATAATATTGCATGTTGTGGAAACAGGAACCTGAGGTTCTCAGGGGAATACACGTGTAGCCTTGAGCCTTAACGCTTGGTTACGCTTTTATGTATGACCTTCTCAGGCACTCTGACTTTTGTTTTGCCACTGATCGACCGGGCAAGGAATTTGGCTGGAGGCTTCATGTTGGAAATGTATAAATATTTTGCACTGTATTATTAAAAATGGATTGTAAAGATTAAGCCAATGAACTAATCAAGATATTTGCGCTTTACATGATCTCAGCCTTGTTTGCTGCTCTTCCTCTCCTCAGGCTGCAGATTGTTTCAGCTCCACATCCCAGCAGCTCCACTCCATCACTGTCACCCTCCGCCGATTTTAAGAGCTCGCTGTACGTGCCTCTTTGGTGAAAGGGACTTCCTGTTTTTGTTTAGCCCCTTTTTATTTTTTATGTTTGACAGAATTCCTATGCAAGGAATGTCCCCGCATCCACATCCACTTCGACCGCGTGGACATCAAGGGAATCCCATTAGAGCCCGAGCTTTTCCGCAGGTGGATGCACAAGCGATTCGAAATGAAGGACCGGTGAGTGTGTGTTGAAATGCAGACCAGTCCTTGTGAAGTATGAGTGATTTATTTCTTTATATTATTTTTTTGAAGAACCAAGCTTTAACTGTATGTGGAAGAGAAATGCTACTTTATTTTGAAAGTCTAACTTTAGATCTTTTGAATTCTACACTTTATAATTAGGTTTTGCCACAAATCCCCATGTTGTCACCTTTCTAAGATAATGGCTTAAGACTTTGTAAAGAAAAAAAATCACCCCCTTTTTATTCCTAAAAGATCATTTTAAAAAAAAATTTACTTTTGACAAAAAAAGGATTTGGGTATATTAGTGGGATGGGACATTTTATGAATGGGAACAACACAAAATAGGCCATAATTGTAGTGAAGAAACATTGTATATGCAAATAATAAATAAATAGTATAATATGTTGACCTTAACCTTGTTATTCTATTAATTCAATACATTGTTGAATCATTTCTCATTGCATTTAAAACTAAAAGTATTGTGTTTGTCAGATTTACACGTTTTTTTTTTTTCTTGTTCTTTTCTGCAAAGCAAACAGTTCAGCCAGATTGGGTAGAGACAGTCTGTGAACATCAACTTTCGAACAGATTCTCAATCAGATTTAGGTCTGGACTTTAACTAGGCCACTCTAATATATGAATATGTAACCAGTGCACTGAAGCTCAGATCTTCAGAACAACTTCCAGTCATTCTGGAAATCCAATCTCTATTCAAGTCTCTTGGATTATGACTGAACTGAAATGCTGTTAAACTGATGCTAAATTAAAATGGAGCATTACCTTTAAAAGCTGATTTCTTATGTCACAAATAGAACCATTACTCTTTTTTTTTTTAACTTGAAACATAAAAATTTTTGCATTAAAAAAATAAACTTCCTTTTATAATATTTTTTGAATTAAGCTGAACATGTTATTAAAGCTTCCCATGTTGTTGAAAAAAATTAAGTTTATTTCATTTAAGAAGTAAAGGCAGTCGTTTTATTGGAGTAAAATAATTGATTTCACTGCCAGCTCAGCAACAGAAAAGCCTGACCTGTGTTTGTGCTGTAACTGCTGGTTCAGCCCAGTTCCCTTCACTTTGCAGTTTATTTTCATTCCCTCTTGCACTTCTCCGACAGCATGAACTCCCCCTAAGAGACCAGTACGTCTTTCTTTTTCTCTTCTTTCCTTAAAGGATGTTGACAAATTTCTACGAGTCAGAGGATCTGGATAAAAAGTGCAGATTCCCCGGCGAGGGCAAAATCTCTCCGCTGAACCTCTCCAAGTCCCTTCCCTCTGCGCTAATTCTGGGAGGGCTAACACTGCCAATGCTGCTGACGGAGAACGGCAGAAAACTTTACGTGAGAACCTGGGTTTATGGGACGCTGCTGGGCTGGCTCTGGGTGAACATTTCTCCCTAACAGCTGCAGGGGAGACGACTGCCATGGCGAGACACGCGGAAAGAGGTGCTCCTTTCCTCTATCGCAGAAACGCTCAGCGTGTTTCAGATGCAGAGCCGCACCTGATGAGATCCAAGAGTGTTTGACTGTCCAGCTGTTGACCGGAGACACTGAGAAATACTTGAACCTTTATGTAAAAAAAAAAAATATATATATATATATATATATGTATATATAATATATATATATATATATATATATATATATATATATATATATATATATATATATATATATATATAACAGATTTATTGCAACATCATACATTTCTCTAAATTTAAATAGAAAAATATCCTTATATTATTAGATTTTTTTGCCAAATTAGCATTCTTGCATGCAGTTTTTCCATCAATCTTTGGCAATATATAAAGATCATGTTATTTTTTAAAAGCCAAGTGAGCTAGTTACCTAAACAACAAAAAACAACTCATAAATGAAGTGCACTGACTAATCAATACCAGTTGTAATACTTTTAAGCCAAGTCCCATATCTTGAGGAATATGCACTTTTATCACACACAGTGATGTTTTTACCCTGGCAGAACAAAATAACGCACAGCTCTCCCCGTGGGTCTCCATGAACACGACACCAGCCGCATTGTTTACCATACTGAAATAGTCACGCTGGCGTCCTTTTTTTAAAATTTTGTCTAATGACTGCGAATGTAGCGCTAAATTCACATTTATTCATGCAAATGTGAAGAAGCAGAGAATGCAATCTGCGGGATTGTGTCTGAGCACAGTTCTTTGTCACGGAGCTCGCATGGAGGAATGTGCGCCGACGATGCAAAATGTGTTCTACCAGTGTAAAGTATTACTCAAACCTTTAAAGTGTCAGTCGTTGCCAAAAGCTGGTGTTTGCCATAATGTCGTGTGGAGAGTGTCTCTGTGTGTTTTATGCGTTTTGTTTTTAGCTCAGACTTGCAGCTTCAGATTTGCTTCTGTCTTTTTTCTTTTATTTCAGTAAAGTAACCAGTTTCATAACATTTATTACTCCACCTTACAGTTCATGTGCAAGTATCTACCTAACAAAATGCTGACAAAGCCATGATACCAGTATGTATTGCAGGTGCACTCAATGCCATTTGTATTATCACATTATTGTATTAAGAAAAGCACTGTTTGTCCATTGTTTACTTGTCACTTTGTCTGTAAGCAGTTTTGTCCTCCTCTGTTGTTAGTTTTTTGTGTTTTCTTCATCTTAGTACAGCAATCGCATCGTTTTTACATGTTGCTCTGATACCTCACTTGAAGAATCCTTCCTTAAAAAAAAAATCCTTGTCAGCCATTTTATACTCATTTTTATCCTGACAAGAGCGGACTTGTAACATCGTCAGGAAACTCTGTAGACGGTATTTAAATGCCATCAGATTTTTGGAAACGTGTGCCTTCTCTAGTGGCTCTTCTCCACCAGGCGACTGCACCGGGCCGCTTTGCTGGACTTGACTCTTACAGCAGCTTGTGGTCATGTTGTCTACAGCTCGTAGTGGCTTTTTTTGCTCAAAAAATGCTTTGATTTATACTTTTTTGAAGACTATTATGAAATAACGAAACCTTTAATGTGGTTTGAGGTGTGGAACCTTGGGGTCAGATGGAAATAAAGATTTTTTTTTCTTTTTTCTGGGGATTTACATTTTCTGTGTTACCTTTCTTTTTTATATATATAATTTACTGTCTATGGAGTTAAACAGGCAAATTTTTAGGCTATTGTGACATAAAACAAGAAGCCCATGATAAATCATATCAAATCTATTTCCACTATGAATATTATCCATTATGATTTAATATCCGCATTCAAAAGGGGAAAAAAAAAAGATACTAGGCCAGGGAGACTGACAAAAAGATGATCACAACACCAATTCTTTTAAGTACTTGTATTCTATATGTAAAAAGACATGTTTCCAATTCCAAGATGAGAACCACCAGGGAGAAAACTTAGTGGCAGCATGGTGCTGCGGCTCTACTTTCCCCTCATAAGAAGAGGATTCATTCAAAACAAAAAGGGTTTGGTTGAAAACTATAATGTATCAAGTAGGAGAATGTATTTATTTTATTTAGAATCGGGTCCAAACATAGATCAAAATCTGAACAAGGATTGAATATAATTAACATTTTGTACTGACGTTAGTTCGCTACACTAAGCTACACTTAAATTTGTAGTGGTTCGCGTATCAAACAAACTGATCTACTCACATTTCCAATTTCGATGAAGGTCCGCGAACACAACATTCACCAAATCTGCCATGCGCAGTAAGACGGGTGAGCAGCAGCGACAGGAAGTGTTGGACCTAAAATTGAAATCTGTCAGTGCTGATCTTTGATTTGGACAACAGGTAAGAAAGAGTTCCTCGGCGATCTGGGAGCTATTTATTTAGCGTAAGATAAGAATATGTGTCAGAAGAAGTCGCCTTATTAAGGGCCTAATTCTTCGTTTTTGCCTCGGTTGTTTTGCAGTCGTTTGCTTGTGTCACTGAAAGACGAACAGCGACATCTAGCGGTTAATCCTGTGTACTACAGAGATTAACATTGCGAAGCAATGCTGAGGAAGTTAAACTTCAAGTCGACGTTCAGAGTTAGCTAATCCTTTTACAAGACTGTGTGCGAATTGAATTATTTCTGGTTTTAGTTGATTGTTCTGCTCCTTTTCTCATGCAGACAATTGAAAAAGTTAATGTTGTGTTTGCAGCTCTGCTATGGACTGGATTGGTTTCGGCTATGCTGCAGCCATCGTTTTTGGTGGATTTATGGGATACAAGAGAAAAGGTCAAACGTACCAATTTCATTTGCATTCATTTACAAGAACGTTTTGAAGACTCGCTGGATTAATGAGTTACAAGACTATTTTTGAGTTAGAATTTTCATAGACCTCCTTCTCAAAGTTCTGTATTTTCTCATCATCACTGTCTTTAAATGTTTGCAGGCAGCGTGATGTCCCTGATTGCTGGTTTAGTTTTTGGTGGATTATCTGCGTATGGAGCCTATAACGTCTCCAATGACCCAAAAGATACCCTGGTGCTGTTGGGTTAGTATATATCAAAGTTAATTGGACCTTATCTTGGCTAAAAAGAAAATCAAGAAAGCCTAATCCACACATGCAAAGAAGTTTAGTGAAATGACACAGTTAATGGTTAATGAAAATTTGAAGAAGAGAAGCCGCAAAAAATGTACTGAAAGCGAATCTGTCAATATTGAGAAAACAATTTTCCTTCCAATTAGCACTGGTCAATATAAGATACTGTAAACCTAATTTATGGCCCATTGAAAGGACTGTTAATCACCAAAGCCTCACAGAAGAAACATGTTGGGTAACGACCAAGAGGCCTCTCCAGACATCTGCAACCTTGTTACACAACATGTTGATCTCTCTGTTTACAGACATTCAGGGCCTATAAAATCTACAACGCCGGTTAAAATCCTAGTCTTATGACATAAACCTGAGAACATGAAAAATAATTAAGCTTTTCCCAACTTATGTTACAAATATCCAATAAAACCAAACTTAAAATGAACAAATCTGGTCAGAAAAAAAAATTCAAGGGAAAAATAACCTGATTTCTCTCTAATAGAAAAATGTTTTGCAACCGAACAGTGCAGTGTGTCACTTAGGAAATGGTTTGAAATTACGTAATTTTTACGTTGTCATTTTTACACTGTAACAACCTACACCAATAATCATTTTATCAAGGCTGTGTGTGTCTGCTGATAACCACCAACTGCTCCATCAAAGATTTCTGACATCCAATGAAAATAATCAAAAGATTTCTTCGAGGGACAATAAACAATGGCAAACAGCTTTAGAAAAACCTTTACAGTTTGAATGGAAAGATGGGTCAATGTGGGTAGTTTCTCCACAAAGGAGACACCTTGGTACTGCCATTTCTACAAAAAACTGAATACATTTTAATATTTATGTGTTAAGTACATGTTTTCCCTGCTTCGTGTCAGGGGGTTTCTTTCATTTCACAAACTGGATTTGGTCTGTGTTTCAGCCTCCTCTGGGCTGCTGGGAGTGATCATGGGAATGAGATACAAGAAATCAGGGAAATTAATGCCAGCAGGGATTATGTCGGGGCTAAGGTCAGTCAGAATTGCTTATCTTGCAGAAAAGCTGATTTTGCAATGAACTGTTGAAACAAATCACCCGATTTGCTGTTTTGTTCTCTCTTTTTCAGTTTGCTGATGGTGTTTCGCCTGTTCCTTCTGACCATAATGTAACCGACCAAGCTGTACTGACCAGACTCAAGACGACTCTTGACTCTCGACAAGCAAGTCTAAACAAAAGGAAGCTGTTCTCCCAAATCTGTATTTTTGTGAGTTTTTAAGAGGAATTTACTCATGACCTCTATGTGAGGCTGTGTGATTGTAAGCAAAATTGTGCAAATGAACTCTAATTTACCTATTGTTATGGCAAATATTTCTAAACACTGCAATTTTTTTGTACTTTATATCTGTTAATAAAATGCAAATAAAGATCAGAAATTTTAAACAGTCGAAACTGTAAAATTTCATTCTTGCATGTCTGCAACTGGGAAACAGTAAATAATGAACTATGTCCAAAATATTTGTAGAAGCACAAAAACTGAAGAAATTTGACTTTTACAGTGCATGTTTTTTTCATATATAAACATTTCTAAAGGCCAGTGATTAAAAACAAAAACGCAACAGCCTCTGAGATGTTATCTGAAAACTTCTCCATTTATTTAGTTGAGGCCTTTTTGAAAAGGTTCCATCAATTGACTCCTGTGAATAAGATTAGTTTTTCAGTCCAGTGTTATCAACAGAACTACACCAGAGATGTTCACATGATTAGGTTTTTTAGTGCTTTCTTGATTAATGAACCAAATTTTGTTGGAAGAGATGATTATGGAAAGGGTCCTGTGATGCTGAACACTTCCTTCACTGTCTTGACGTAACCTTCATCTGGCTGCGGCTTCCTGTTGCTGCCCGGCTGCAGAAACTTGCTGATGGCTGGGATTTGAGTCATCCTGCCCTGGAAGGACTGGACAGGAAAATGCAAACAAAATAAAACAAACAAAAAACTTAAAATTCAACACAGTTTAAATTGTGAAGGCTGATAACTGGGGAGCAAAACAGGAAAGAAATGTTTGAGGCATTGTACTTTGCAGAAGAATTCACATCGCTTGAACTTTTGCACATTTTGTAACATTCCAACCAGAAACAATGTGTTGTATGAGATAAAATGGTGAATTGCTGTGAAATGAAAGGAAAAAAAAAAGATTTTCCAAACATAAATCTGAAGATTGCACCTGCAAATGGAAAGAAATTGGCCCAACTCATCAATTCTTTGGCCTACATGTCAATTCCTACATACAAATGAAGATTTAATTATTAAACAAGCCATCAAACATAATTTCAATACTTAAATGACACTGGAAATTAGTGGCAAGACCTAAAAAATGTCTCCATCCAATCTGCCTGAACTTGAACTATTAAATTGGGAAAAACGGGTCAGAATTTACCTGAACAAAGATGGTGAGAGACATAGCCAAAAATACTTGCAGCTATAATAGCAGCAAAAAAATTTTCTACACATTACTGACTTAATAATAATTTTTAAAAAAATTTATAAAGGAAGTATGAACACTTTTGCAAGACTCTGCAGGTCCAATCTCACCTTGATGTTGGGAAATTCCTTGAGTATGTCAGGAAATTTCTCCTCCAGCATCAAAGTACATTCAACCAGGAGCACATCTGCAAGGCTTAGCTTTCCTCCCACCAGGTAATCGGATCCAGCAAGTGCCTGAAAAGTTATTGCTTTAATTACCCTAATTATGAATGATTTACGTTTTTAAAAAGTGAGTTATTACAGCATACCTTTTCGAACACTGGCAGGTAGCGCTCTTTTGCTTTGCTCTGGATATTGTCAAGTTTGGGTTTGGTGTCTGTGACGAAGGGGAGGACCATGACCATTTCCATGTGATCAATCAGTCCCTCCGCATACATGTTGATCCTGATGGGGAAGTTTAAATGTGTCAAAAGATTTAAAAGTCACAGAAACAACAAACACATTTAGATTAGCATGAGGGTAGAGCTGGATCATACATGGCACGTTCTTTGAGGTCTTTCCCGTGGAGATTGTACTTCTCTGCGATGTAGTACAGGATTGCTTTTGTCTGCACAAGTTTAAGGCCATCAATCTCCACCAGCGGAACCTGTTGAAACATGAGTGATCCCTCTGCAGAGAAAAGAAAAGAACCAGGTCATGCAGAACACCACTCCCAGCAAAAAAAAGAAAGACATACAATATCTCCTCCCTTCCCTCCCTTCATTTTTTTTTTTCATTTTTAACAGTGTTTCCGCATACAATGCAACATATGCGGGTTAAAGATCAACAGTTAAGATGAAAAAAAAGATCACATTTTGCATAGGTCATATAGAGTCCATAATTATTGTCTCACCCACCATTCAGGAGTTTTAAGTACTCCTCTCTCTTGGTCAGATAACGCTCTTCAAACTGTAAACACAAAGCAGCAAAATGAGACATTTCATGACAGTAACCAGTAACAGTAATGATTGAATATAATTGCCTTAACAAACCTCCACTTCTGCAACTGTAAGAAGCCAGCGGATTGACTCCATTTTCCCCCTTCCGTTGAAATAGTGCAGGATAACTTTTCCAGACATGACAGCGGAGTATATAATCTAGAAGTATGTGCTTATATATAATATTGTATTATAACAAAAGACAGAAGTGCAAAAACGAAAAACAAAAGAAGCTGGACAGAGTTAAGTTCAAAGCTGAAAACCGGGAGGAAGAAACCGTTTGGTTCAAGATATAAAGAAGCACCAAAAACCGGAGGCGTGTACAACTCCTGAAGCATGTGATTGGTAGAAGTGATCCAATAGCAATATGGTAAAGTTACACATTACCGCAAAGCATCCTGGATAAATGTCAAGCTGCCATCTTTTAGTTATTATTTACAAATAAAGAAAAACAAGGATCGTGTCAATTATGATTATTTACGTGAAGTTACGTAAATTACAGTTGATAGTAAAATTCCCAGTCAATTAAAACCGTTATGCCTTTAATAGCTTTTTCTTTCGCCTATAAACCGGTTCGGCGGTTCGGTTTCTCTCGGATGTGAGGGCGATCTGGCTGCGACATCTGTCACCCCATTGATCGCTAGGGTTGATTCGGCTGATCTGGCTGGCTAGGCGGGTGTCCCCTTCCTCCCTCACTGCTCCACATGTGTCCCTCCCGAAGCTCTGCGCTCGGTGGCAGCGGACGACGTCCCCCCGCGGCGGACGACCATCCTTCGGTGTACCAGTAGCTGCGCTCCCCTGCTAGAACCTCCAAACAAGCTCAAGGCCAAAAGGAGAAACGTAGGGAAGTCAAGCTCCAAGCTTCAGACACATCCAAATGCGGCGCTGCACGTGGCAGTCTGCCTTACCTTTTGATTACATTGTAGTATAACACTGTGAGATTAACTAATCTGTGCTGAAGATTGACACTTCCAACGAGTTCTAAGTGCACATTTTCACACATTTCAAGTGTGAAAATGTGAAATTTTTTTTGACACACAAAATGTTCATACTTAATAACTTGAGACTGAAAGTTTGGGTTTATGCAACAAACAGCTTTATGCAACATGGCGATTTATCAACACTAAAATTACAACATCTTTTTACTGAAAACATGAACACAAAACAATAGTTGACTGGCAAGGCAACTGTCATTGAACAAAATGCAAAAAGTACCAAAAAAAAAAAACAATTAATTAGCCCAAAAGAAATCACAGTGAAGGTTTTATACCATTGTAATATGCATATTATATGTTTACATGTGGGTGGTCAGCATTCAGGGAAACAAAACTGAGGCATAACCTTTGCAGCAGCTGTAATACAGAGACAGTAAGAGAGAGAGAAAGGGAAGGGTTGCACTCACGTTTTTGGCTCATTGCATTTCGTCATACTTTAAATAGTTTACAACTCGAAGCATTCATTGTACATCTATGAAACAAAAATTATTGCTGTGTAAAGTTTATATTTACATGCTTGGGTTATAAAACAACTAGGCCTACTCTTTGGAAGCGAAAGAGTTATTGAAGCTCATTTTTGAGCTCCATGGATGCCACTAACGCTGTCCGTATTTGGCAGACCAGTCTGTTCGGCCGTGAATGCTCTGTAGCGGCGGGCGAGGATGCAGACTGGACGTGCTTTTGTTGGCTGTGGGCGCGTTGGCAGAGGAGTTCATCTGACTCCGACCGGATCGCCATGTTGCATAATCTGTAACGACACAAAACAAGAAAAATTCCTATCAAGCAGGTTGCTTAAGCCTTCATTTTGGTTTCTAGCTGTAATTATTAGAATATTAGAAAAAGCTCACTTGATGCCGTAGCTTCCACTGTTGTACCCTGCCTTCCTCTGTGGCCAGCAGAGCCACCATCTTTTTTGTAAAATGATGGGATGTATCCACCAGGGATTGTATTTGTACCTGAAGATGAAAGACAAGAAGACACACATTTATCTGCAAACAGTTCGAGGCAACAAACCGGCAAAAGTTGGAAGAAAAAAAAGGGGGGTTACCATGCGCTCCTCTGCTCGGCAGCGTTCCTCCAAAAGGAATACTACTGCCGCCCCAAAGATGGCTTCCAGTGAAGTCCTTACTGGCATCTATGGCCACATTTTTCTTTGTACTTATGCCTGAGGGAAAAAACAGTAATGGATCACTGCAAACTGTATTCTAACATATCACAAGTGTGATGAACATAAACAAGAAGTTTTATCCATCAAAAATGCTGCTCACACCCTCCCTTCCTTTAACCTCTGCAGCTCCAGCCAGTTCTCCAGAACAGAGCCTGCCATGCCGCATGAATGCTAAGGCGAGTTAGCATGACCACAGAGAATGGGGCATAAACAGTTTTTCTGGTATACCATGTTGTTTCGCCACCATTAGCACACTGAGCAGTGCATACACAAGCATGTTTGTCAGCCAGCGTCAAGACCTTCCTCCTGGCTCTGATTGGTTGTTTGTGACTGGATGTGATTTATTTATGAAACACTGGGAGAAGGAAGAGGAGCTCGATTTTTTTCAGATTATGTCTCATGTCACAACATGAAAGTTTCAACAAAAATGTAAAAAAAAACATTGTTTCTAAAAGTTACACACTGCAGCTTTCAGGACATTATGCATTAAATTTAAATACTATGTGAATTTAAATTAACTTTAGGTAAGTTAAAAAGTTGCTTGCCAACCACGTTGTACATAATTTACATAAAAAAGTTAAATGAGTACAATAATAACTTTATTCACAAATTACTTGTCGGTTCTGGTCGTGCGTTTCTGCATCTACAGCCTACTTCACTTTAATGCCTTCAAACTGAGTGAACTTCATACCAGCTGTTGTTAACATCTGAAGTCTTCAATTTCACACTGACCCTCGTCGAATTGACAAAATAAGTTAGAACATTTTTCGAACTTTATTTCACCAAGAAAACTATTACGTTCTTTAGGAAAGAGATGGT